GGGGTCAGATGACCCCAGCCAGGTGTTTGTCCAATCTCGTCTTAAACACCTCCAAGGAAGGGGACAGCACCACCTCCCTTGGAAGTGTATTCCATATTTTGGCAACCCTCCTGTAAGGAACTTTTTCCTGATGTCCAATCTAAATTTGCTCTCCTTCATTTTGTGGCCATTGCTTCTAGTTACCCCAATGGGCGCCCAGGTAAACATTGTATCCCCTATTTCCTGCTGTCCCCCCATGATGAGTTTGTAGACGGCCACAAGATCACCCCTCAACCTTCCCTTGCAGAGTCTGAAGAGATTCAGATCCCTTAATCCATCCTCATAGGGTTTTTCCTGTGGGCCTTTAACTAGACAGGTGGTCCTCCTCTGAACCCTTTCCAGGTTATCTATATCCCTCTTCAAGTGTGGCACCCAAAACTGGATGCAGTACTCCAGCTACAGCCTGACCAATGCAGCATAGAGGGGAAGTATCACCTCTTTAGACCTGTTTGTGATGCACCTACTTATGCAAGAAAGAGTGCAGTTAGCCTTGCTTATTACCTCGTCACATTGACAACTCATGTTCATTTTGGAGTCGACTACGACTCCGAGATCCCTTTCCACAGTTGTGCTACTTAGAGTGGTCCCTTGCAGACTACAGGAGTGTTCATGATTCTTCCTCCCTAGGTGCAACGCATGGTGCTTCTCTTTGTTAAACTGCATCCTATTCTGTTTGGCCCACTTCTCCAGCCTGTCCAAATCAGCCTGGATTTGCTCCCTGTCCTCTAGTTTGTTTACCTCACCCCATAGTTTGGTGTCATCAGCAAACTTGGACAGGGTGTTTTCTACTCCCTCATCCAAGTCACTAATGAAGATACTGAATAGTACCGGTCCCAAGACAGAGGCTTGGGGGACTCCACTGCCCATATTTCTCCAGGTAGAAACTGACCCATCCACCACCACTCTTTCGGTGTGTCCCATAAGCCAATTTTCCACCCACTGGACTGTGTAATAATCTACATTGCAACTGTTTAGTTTATTTATAAGAACTGGGGGCAACACTGTGTCAAAGGCCTTTTTAAAATCTAAGTAAATAACATCTACATTTATTATTTCATCCAAGCATTTTGTGACCCGGTCATAAAAAGAAACCAGGTTAGTCAGGCAGGATCTGCCTGCTGTGAGCCCATGCTAGTTGCCCCTTAGCATTATTTTACTTACTGGTCCCCCACAAATGTAATCCTTAACAATTTTCTCAAAAGTCTTGCCAAGGACAGAGGTAAGGCTAACTGGCCTATAGTTACCTGGTTCCTCCTTCCTCCCCTTCTTGAAAATAGGGACCACACTGGCCTTTTTCCAGTCCTCCGGGACCTGACCCAATCGCTACGAGCACTCAAACAGTCGCACCAGTGGTTCCACTATGACTCCAGCTAATTCCCTAAGTACCCTTGGATGAAGACCATCAGGGCCTGTTGACTTTAATACATCCAACCCCTCCAAGTGCCCCTTTACTAGGTCAGTGCTAACAGTTGGTGGGTTGGTATCTGTATCGTACTTACCTAAAGTCCCATTGGGATGCATGCTTTTATCTGTGTCCAGGAACACAGATGCAAAGAAATCATTTAGGAGCTCTGCTTTGGCCATCCTATCTGTTACCAGTTGCCCTAGTACATCTTGAAGGGGCCCTACGTTACCCTGTGCTTTCTTTTTGCTTCCTATGTATTTAAAGAATGATTTTTTGTTATCCTTAACTTCTGCTGCCAGCCTAAACTCCATTTCCGCCTCAGGGAAGAGTTTGGCCTTTGTGGATGGTTCAGGTTTTTGCTTCTCTACTGAGCCAACCAGGAAGACCTAGGCAAATCCAGGGGTGGTTTTGACAATGATAGCAATCCAAGAACTGGACCTGGAGGACTAGATCGTATCACACAGGGCCCCAACCAACCATACCACAGTAATAACCAACCTGCTAGACTAGAAACCTCATTTTGGAAGATTCCATTTCCAGCTGTCAAAGCATGTAGTCCCTCCCTGCTGCAGACCTTTATGAGGACTCTGCAGGCCCATTCTTGAAGCAGAATGTCTTTGGTACAGTTTGCTACACATATCCCAATGCATATGTCACCATGAAGTAGAGATATGCTCTGGAAAACCTACTTGCAAGGGGCCAGGCATCTGTTCTTCCCTGACAGCAGATCAAAATGTGCTCAATTTAACAGGAAAAATGTATTAATCTGAGCACAGGCTTAGCTAACCCTCCAGATTATGGGGGAGCCAGAAGAAAGCAGATGGGCCTGTGGCATACACAGGGAATGATTAATGTAATTTCCCTGAACATAATGCATGTGGGATTCTGGACACCAAAGATACCATAGCTGTGAAATCCCCACGCTCCTGCTTGGGTTTTTAAATACTTTATTCTTCCACTGGGCAGGCCAGGCTCCACAGACTGGTCATCTCCTGTGAAATCACTTCCCAGGATGTGAGCAGTCAGCCCCTGACTATGGTGAGGCCCCAGTGAATGGAGGCTGGTAACACTGAATTACAGCCACATGCCTACCTTGTTCAGATGCACTTCACAAAGTCCTCCTCACTGTGGCCAACTAAACTAAGGGGTTCATTTTTCCCCATTTCACAGCTGGGGAAGTGAGGTGGTAGAACAGAGATGCTGCCTGCCCATGGTTACGTGGCAAATTGACAGCATCAGCAGAAACCTAGAGTTTCTGTTTAGTCATGCTTTATCCCCAGAGCCACACTGCTGTTCTGAAAGGCATAATCACGTGGTATATGCCATGGCTCCCGTGAGCCATGGCTTTCTCCTTGCTTTTCAGCCTGGGTCTACAGAATGTGGAGGATGTTCACTCGGTGGATTATGAGCTCAAACACCACATCTCGGACTGTCAAGAGCACCGTCTTAAGGCCATTTGCTGCCCCCATTCCCACCCTTACCTGACTGGTGATATCAGAAGGCATCGGAGAAGGCAGCTTAGAGTACATGGCATTCTGGGAGATGAAGCTGGAGTGATCAGAGGTGATGCTGGACAAGCAGGTGTTGGCACTTACCAACTGTGTCAGACTGCGGAAGCAATAGATGGAACTTGGTGAGCATGTTTGAGACCTGCTGGGCCAAAAGGTGCCATCTTTTGTACTGTTAACGCTGCCGAGGGGTGGCAGTGCAGGGAGATAGTTGGGAGAAGGAATGAGCCAGAGACCTCTGCAGGATTGGTTTAAAATGCCCACTTCCAACCTGCTACCAGTATTATACAACTGGACCCAAACTCATAACCTGCATTAGAAACAACTTCTTACCCACAAACTGACCTGACCTGTTTTAGGCAAACCATGACCCAACCTGAATTCAGTTCAAGTTAAACGCTGCTGACAGATGTGAAAAAAAAATTACTGCTCTATAGCTTCTCATAGGGGCATTTATCCTGCCTCCAACCCTAGGTACTCTCCAGTGGTGTTGATGGGTCACATACATACTCCACAAGGCAGAAGAGGAGCAGGAACCAGAAGGGATACAGGGAGGGTCAATTCACTTCTTAACCATATTATTTGATCCCAATGCATTTCAGAAAACCCTCTCTGAGGATTCTTAAGATTTCTACAGTGTCTCTCTTTTGGAGTGACCTACAATGCATCTCCTTTGGGATGTGCATGAAAGGCATTGATTATTGATGGAAGATTAAGCCCCATGCCATAAATATGGATCTGTTGTTAATCCTCAGCACAATGCTCTAATGATTAATTAGCATCTGCTCCCATATATTCTTGGGCACATTTAGAAATGGGCCTTTTTCTTCCTGTGCCTGGAGATCTACATGGAGGCCAGTTCTTCTATGCTGCTGAGGTCCCAGCTGAGAATTCAAACACTTTAAGGTTTATAGTCATTCAGCACTTGTAGACTGCTCAGCTCAAAACATCATGATCCTCATTTACCAGAGGAGTTAGTTGAGGCACAGAGAAATTCAGCGATTTGCCTAAGGTTGCTCAGGCTGGTGCTAGGAATAGCAGCTGCATCTCCACAGCCTGTGCCCTGCATGCTGTGCCCAGACCTTCTAGACATGTGACAATGAATGTCTCTTTAGCTACAACCTTGAGAACTAGAATACATAGCCTTTTGCTAAAAGCAGAGTCCCCTTTGCCCAGGTCCTCAGCGTGCTCACTCAGAACCAGCCCTGCTATGTCCTGACTAGAGTCTGGCTTGTCCATTGTGCCAAGCTCCCTAGCAGCCACACTGTATGTACCTGCATGTGCTCGACCTGCGAGAGCCAGTGCTGTTGGGGGAGGATGGTAGAGTTCGGTAGGAGCTGTCCTTGGAGCCTTTCAGATCTTTGATCACCTGCAGGAAGAAGAAGCCAGGGCTAGGTTAAGTACTGGTTTACTAAGTGTTTCTGTTCCCCTCTGGTGAGATCTGCCATGAGTGAGAGTCCAAGTCACCAGCTGATGGAAACTCAGCCAACTTCTCTTAAGTCAACGGTCAGCAATGCTACGCTGATTTACACTAGCGAGGGATCTGGCCCTGTAAATGTAACTTTGGCCATTACAACATCCCCTGAGTAAAGAGGATACCAAGGCCCAAATGGGAAAGAGCAGGGACATTCATGTCTCTGACTCTGCAGATTCCCAGACATGCTACCAACCTCCTGGGTGGAGGAGACTGAGCCCTTGTTACACACACACTATGGCTGCATACAGCAACCTTCTCCTCTGGAAGGCTCCACACAAGATGGGGAGCTCAAGTCAACCCAGCTGGTACTCTCCTCCATGAGTTATGGCCAGGGAGCCTTGCAGAAGGAGTTCAACCAAACAAAAATATCTGCAACCCAGAAACCACATGGGGAGAATGTGTTGCATATTGCAACAACTTCAATGTTAAAATAAAACCAAGCCAGTGCCAGTCACTGCACCAAATGCTGTGTGGCAATCTGAGAAATGTCACTGAAGTTTAAATATATCATGGAAGAGACTTGTGTCACCCACCATGGAAATGCTTCCAGCTGGGGAGGGAGGGGAATAATAACTCCAGCCATTATAATGATGTTAGCAAGACAAGAACATTCCCATCCTAGATCACAGTCCCAGGGGAATTTCAGATGGCAAAGAGTAATCTATACTGGAATATGGCCAGATCACAGGGGTAAGAGCCCCAGGCCTTGTGAAAACAGCCCCAACATCTTTAATGGCCGCAGCAATTACATCTCAAGAATCAGCAGGCTTTGTAAAGGTGAGTAAAACTCACTGTCTCCATTCCATAGACAGGGGAACTGACTGAAGCATCAAACAGGGCAGCAACTCACCCAGCTCACAGCAGGCCAGGGGCAGAGCTGGAGGTGGGACACAGCCAGAATCTCAGCATAACCCTTTGGGTGAAAGACAGTGACTTTCCTACTAATTCTAATATATTGTTGGCAATACCAACCCCCTGCCAGCTGGGGCCACACTACCCCAGCTCAATATCACGTGATCCCAGGCGCACATGCAAATGGCATACCCAGGAACAATAATTATTCAGTCACATTAATTGCACATGTGAACAGGTCCTGTGACTGGGCTCAGGAGGTCTTAGTTTAATCCTGACACTGTCACAGTTTCCTTGGCCAAGTTATTTAATCCCCCTCTCTTTCCCATTTGTGAAATGGAAATGCTCATCTCTCCTTCACCTGTTCAGAGCGTAAGGTGTATTGGGCAGGGATGGGTTTGTGCTGAGCCCAGCTGAGCACTGATCTTGTCCAGAGTCTCCAAGGGCTACTGTGACCCCAGTGACAATACTCACTGCTGCAGATGCTGTGGTCTCCTTTGTGAGCTCCTGTACATCAGGAGCTATCACACCAGGTGGTGAAGCAGGGTCTTCCAAATCTCTCCACAGGGCCTGGAAAGTTTAGCATGGTGTTAGCTGCCCAGGTCTGGAATCCTTGTGCCTTCCAGACACCCTGGCTGTTTCAAGAGAAGGGAGGAAAGTGCCAGGAAATAAGCAATTTCCTGAACAAGTACAATGCTGCTGGGGCCAAGAAAGGGACCATCACTGTCTGAAGGCAAGAGCTCAGCAACTGGGGAGAGTCGGAGCTTCCTGTTAGCCTCTTAGCTCCATAACAGTCTGTGCTGCTTGGTAAATACTCTGTGGGACTATTTTCTGATTCATCTTATAGAAAGCCAGGAATTAGAGGACCCTACTCACCAGCTCCTCTATCGAGCTTCTTCTGCTAACCTATGTGCAGCACTAGGGCTTGCTGCTAGCTGACCTACAGGCAGGAGTCAGAGATTGAGAGCACCAGGCTGGCGTACGGTAGACATGGCTCCATTCCCAGCTCTGCAGCAGACTCCCTGTGCGAGGCAGAGCTTGCACAGTCACTGCATCTCCTTGTGCTGCTCTTCTCCACCTGCAGCAGTGGAGACCTGGACACTTCCCTTCTACCCAGTCTGACCATCCTGTCACCTCTCTGGAACAGCAGATGTCTCTCACAAGGGCTTTGTGCAGCACCAAGCACATCAGGGCCCTGCTCTCCATCATGGCCTTGAGGCGCCTGTGTCATGTTAATGAAAGAACCGAAACAGCCATGGGTCTCTTGTAAACAGGCTCTGCACCCTCATCAGGGCTGTATTTGTGCCCATGAAGCAGCACAACCAGCAGTTGCCATGTCTGATTTCTCTCTCTCTCTTTCTCTCTCTCATGTCCCAAGAAAAATTCACATGTTTTTAAAAGATCCTGGATTCATTTATGTTCTTCCTGCTTTGCCAAGAGGCCTCATCTGCCCTCCCAGCATAACAACCCAGCTCCCAACATTATTCCAATACATGAAGAGCCCCAACTGGTCAGAGGCTTGATGGAAGTCTTGAGGCTTGAGAGAACCACCATGGACTGTGTATTTCCAGTGGTACATGTGGAGCTAACAAAGAAGCTTACCCTTTTCATTTTCTCCACAAAGACGGAGAGGTGGAACTCTATCTCGGAAACCTGGAAAAGAAGAGGTAGTCAGAAGAAAGGTATCTTCACCCTACAGTTTCCAGGCAAAACCAAGGTGTGTTCAGAAGTATTCTGTGTTGGCTTTTCCTGTTCCAGTCTTCAGTCAGAGGTACCTTCCCCCCAGAGACACCTGAGAGGTGAGTGAGCTGCACATGAAAGGCTGTGGAATATCCAACCCCAAAGAAGTTAGCCCAGTAGCTGATGGCAAAGATCCTGGAGATGTAACCCTCTGAACATCCCATATGTCTGTGGCTGTTGCAGTAACAATGAAATGCTCACACTGGGCAAGGCGGTTTCCCACAACCCAAGCCAGTTTAGAATTTTATTCCCTTCCCCTAGTGAACTGTAAGACTGAAGCAGCCATTTACCAGTGGAGGGCTGGAATTCTCCAGCAAGTGGAGGATCTCTCGAGCTCTCACACTCTGGCATCCCTGGAAGCTGGGTGCACTTTTCTTGACTTTCACTGTTGCCTGAAAAATCAAACATGGCCTTACTTTTAGTAATTGGCACTCCTGGGAGTCCCCAGGCAGCCCAATCATGTGCCACCACCTGGCTGTTTCAAGAGATGAAACAGGAAAGGACATAGAACGGTGTACTGACACCAGTCCTTGTTCTTCTCTTTAAGGCTTGGCTTTGAAAAAGTATTTATGGCTATGGCCAAGTCTGCCTGGTAATTGCTTTAAAGTGGGCACTGGGGGGGAGGGAACCAGTGTGAGGAAGCATTCATCATGTCTTGTTCTAAGAAGCATATTTGCATCCCTGCCCTATAGTGCAGGTGTAGCTGGAAATGGCCCAGCCCTAGCACACATCCCCATCAGCTGGAAGCTGCATCTATGCAACAGCCAGGCAGAAGAAACTGGTGGTGGCACAGGCAAAGCCCTCTGGCTCCATCAGCTGGATCAAGTGACTCCCAGGCTGCACCTAGCCCACAAGCAGGATGTTGCTGCTCCCTGCAGTAGGTTAGTGGTGATTCTGTGAGGGGTGTTGGGCTCCAGGGCTCCAAGGCTCTCTTACCCGCAGAGGAAAGGATGGCTTTTGGGTAGGAAAACCCATGGCTGTGCCTCCAAGGCCTGGGTACCAGATTCTTTTAAGGGGTCTTCTGTCAGGGAAGGTGTCAAAAATGGTCTGCAATAAGACACATGGACAGAGCTTTAGCAAAAGTACACAAAGCAATAGGGAAGTTGCAACCCAGGTGTCAGGGCTGAGTGAGTGTCCTTGTTCTACTCAGGAAATGAGAGGCCCAAGCACTGTAAACTTGCATGTGGCTTGGTCTTGCTCTCCAGCTACTGGCAGCTTTCAGAGCCGTTCTTCCCACAGCAAGGCACTATTCCATGTTATTACTCATGCTGGAAGATTGAACCTGAAGCCTTGTGTGTAGCTACCAAGAGAAATACATATGGTAAAGAGCTGTGCTACCCTGCATCTCTGCTGTGAGCACACAGGCCATGCCCACAGCCAACAGCCATGAGCCCAGGCCCTAGAGGCCAGTGTGGGATGCCCACTTTCAGCTGATCCCAAACCCACAAATCTCCCTTCTCCAAGTGGTAATAGTGTGGGGTGGCAAGGCAGGTGTGGGAGTGGAGGCCTCTTGAGGAAGAGGAGATGGCCTGTTAGAGGATGGGGATGTTGCGGCAGAAGCCTTCGACAGCTGGAAGGAGATGAAGGCTGTCAAAAGAAACAAGGAGGTGGCAAATGAGGCTGATGGGAAGAGGCTGTGGGGGGCTGGTTTCCATGCCCATCGGCATGTGTGCACAGGAGGCTGATGACAAGTCTTCCTTGCTTTCCCCAGAGCTGGCATCCAGACAAAGCAGAAGCTTGGGGACTCGATCCCAGGGCAGAAAGGGTGGGTTGAGTTGAGGCGAGTGCTGCACTTGGTTGTCAGAGATACTGAGCACCTGCAAGTCACAGCTGGAGCCCTTTTACACTTGCAGTGACTGGCCTGTTGCCTGCCTGTTGCCCGCTATTTTGTCCTCTCTTACCTGGCAGGGCGGAGGCTGCAGCTTTCCTGGGCGTGCCCAAGGGAGCCCAAAAGCAGGTGGCGACTTGGGAAGCTGGTGATTTTCAAGTCTGGAGACTTTATCTGTCATCTACAATAAAATGCAGGGACCAGGCAATAGTCAGAGGCATAGTTAGCAGTCCCAGTGCCCTGGACAGGGATGCTGTCAAGTGCAGGAAGGAGTCCTGTGTTAAGGAGTACCAGAGTGGCAGGAGGGAGAAAGAGTTTGCTGTGTGTTGAAGAGCAGGCTTGGGGCAGTCAAATACCAGAGAATGGGGCTGGGAATGCAGGCTTTGGGGGTGAAGTGGTAAAGCTCTGTGGGAGGCTTCTGACATCCCCTCTAAGTCAACACCTGGGGATGGTGCCCAGCTCACCCTGCTGTAGTTACACAACTGGTAACAGTGAGTGGGGCCCCACATGAAGATTCAATGAAAGCCCAGGGTAAGCCTGTACTCACATAGGGGAACGGGCTGTGGGCAAGCTGAGTGGTCCGTGGGGGCTTCTGATGCACAACACGGCGGTTTTTGGAGCGGAGACGGGGAGGCCGACAGGTGCGTGATACACCTCCTGGAAGGAAAGAGATGGGTGCATTAGCAAATCATTTCCTCCTCAAAGTCCTGCTTCTTACTGAGAATGGATTTGCATACACTGGCTCTTTCATGTGCTTGCTTACACATTCAAAACCTGACCCAAAGCAACATGGAGTCACTGCAACAGAGGGCAGGAAATACTTGACTAGGGCTGCTAATCAACTCCCTCCAGCAGTGGTTTACAATGGTTTTAGACATGTAGCACCCCTCATTGGACTCAGGGTACCAGCTAGGAAAACGCTAATTCTTAGCTTTCACTTGTTTTTTGACTATGGAGGAATAAAGAGCCACTCTCATGTTGCAAAGAACTCAGACAGCCTGGGGTTATCTTGTCAATGATTGCACACCTCACAGTGCTAATAGTGTATGCAGCACCTTTGAAAGCATCTCAAGGCACCCCAGGGTGCCATGGGATCCTGGTTGAGCATGGCTGCCTTAAAGTGACCTGTTATACAACAGCTTAGTTCCTGCCACAGGCCATCTACAAAAGCAGTATCAAGGCAACATGAAGACAGGACTGGCCTGGGGAACTGCTCCCAGGGCTGGAGAAGTGAGTAGGGAGGGATGGGCTAGTGTTGAGGAAGTCCAAAGCACACACACCATAGCCTTGCTTCACTGATACATGCCTACCAACACCACTAGGGCTCTTGTAGCACAAAACACAAAACACAGCATGTCCTGCCCCACGTGCCTCAGCTCCACCCCTACAGCATCTGGCTCTGTGGCCCTAAAACCAGCCATGGATTTCCTTGAGCTTTCTTTTAGAGTTGGTGATGCTCCCAAAGTTCTCTAATATCAAGCCTCCACAGCAATAGATGTACTGCAGGGAGGAGGAAGATAGCCATGTGTGCCATGCTGGAGAGGGAAAACACCTGGAGCCAGCCCCAAAGTTGTCAGGAGAATTCAACTTTCCAAGCACTGGAGCTGGACAAACAGTCAGGGAGAGAAGTCTTTGACCCCCTATGTCTCAGCAGCTGCAGAATTGCCCTGGCTCCCAGCCCAGAACTCCCAGATCACCCAGCCCCACCACGGGCAGCACTCCAGTCTGGCTGTGTTGAAAGGCAAAGCCCCTGGGGCTGACGGTTGAGCAGAGGCCAGTGACTAGCTGGTGTGCTGGATTGGAGAGCCCATCTGTGCTCGGAGTATAGGTCCTGTATGAGATTATCAGCAGTGTGTGTGTCTGTCCTGTTGCCAATTCCACTGTCACTGTAAAGCCTTCCCACTGCCTTTATCCACTGGACTGGGATGAAATACCAAAGTATTGGCATAGGACTAACAGTACAGATTCCTGAGTGAAATGTAGTACAGGGAAATGTCATCACACCAGACTACACACACACTCCTACTGTTAGTTGATGATATGGAGGGGGTCTCTGTGCCAGCAGTCAGCTAGGGACAATGTGTGAACACCTGATAGAGGCTGATGTGGAGTCACCTGACAGGGAGACTACTGCATGGTAAAAGGGCAGCTAAGTCATTGGTTCCCTTGTTTTTGCCCAGCCCTCCTGTACCTCTGGAAGAGTTAATGAGAGTTGACTCTTAACTCTTCTGGCTGTGGTGAGGTTCTGGGAAATGGGGCACTGAAGCTCCTCTATGGTAATGTCTGAGGAATCAGGACTGGACAACGCGGCCCCACAGCTGGAATGTGGACTTTGGTTGTCAGGGGGATGCTGGCAGCAGGGTCTGTACCTGCGACTGAGTCTAGACATGCCAAGAAATACACAATACCTCTAGTGAAGCACCACAGGAACCACAGGAAACAATTCAGCATGAGGGTTTTCACGTAGCCGAGCATGGTTAAACCATTTGATATCTAGGGTAGAAACATGTGAAAAGCTAAACCACAAGAACCAAGTGTGCCAGTCACATCTTCCCAGAATGTTTCAAAGTAACTTCTCTGCTAGATTTGGAAACTCATCAACGGGGCTAATAGCGGCACATTTTAAATGAATGGAGGCAGCAGGTCCTGAGCACTAAAACCCAGCAACTGGACATTGTCTCAACCTGCATGTTTCTTTGGCCAGTTCCCTCCCACCCCTGAAGAGGGAAGCTTCACAGCCCTGATCTCAGCATTGTTCAGTGCAGCACACCTGGGGCACTGATGTCCAGAGATGTTAGCTCCCCCTTATTGATGTATCTCACAAGCTTTATTGCTGCTGGAATGGTGCTATGTTTTAGTCCATTCCACTGCTGCTCTCTGTAGTGCTCACTCAGTCAATGGGTATTTGATAAGATAAGAGTCTGCGATCACACCTGTTCCACTGAAGCCACAACAGGGGCTGGGCTTGACTTCAGTGGGAGTAAGTCAGGCCTGCTGTCCATGTAAGAACTACAGATGCATTTTTGCCATCATGATCAAACCAGCCAGCCCATTGCTAAGGAGATTCCAAACACTTTGCCAATGATCTCCCAGGCTGGAGCCTTTCATGAATCAGGGATTGTGTTTTCACTTTCAAACACTAAGTCCAGTTTCTGGCATGACCAGAAATCTTTGCCATCCACTGACTTCTAAGGAGTGAGGCGTGAGAGGGGGCCCTTGTCCCAGCTCTACAGGACAGAAACCAGCAGACTGCCTCAGCTCGGGGAGTACTGGGCTGGCCTTGGGAGCCTTGCTGCAGCTCTCTTTCAGTCTCGTTTTGGTCTCCACAGGTCAGGATTAGCAGCATGCAGGCCTGCAGGAGCCCCCAGGCTGAATGCCAGGAGGCTTTGGCCTCTGAGGTGTCTCGTGGTCCAGCCATGTTACAAGCATGGAGCAAATGGGGACAAGCACCAAAACTGCCCAGATGGAAAGAACTGGAAAGCCAAGCAGGACCTGAGCTGATCTAGGGCCTGGCCTGGCAGGGATGGGAGTGAGTGCCCTGGGATGCCAGGGGTCTTTGGAATGCTGCATCCATGGCAACAGCATCATATGAAGCGCTCCTACCCATTCTCCCCTAACAGTCAGCTCTCAGCATTTCCGAAACAGAAATGAGACCTCCTTTCCCACTTGGCTATGACAGCCATCACCAAATGCTAGGGTGCCCCCTCCGTGGCTGACTCTGAACTCAGAGGAAGAGAAATGTGCCAAGCCCTGAGTTAGCCTCATGACTGCAGCTCTCTCAGGTTCCCTCACTTCAGCACAATCTCCTTCTCACTTGCCATGACATCCCACCTCTTGCTTCTCCTTTGGTGTCCTTTCTCAGACTCACCCAACCTCCCCCATCCCTCTTCCTGGCCATCCCTCAGGCTTCCCGCAGTGTTCCCTATACAAGCGCAAGTCCCTCTCTCCCTCTGTAACGCAAGTCTCACCCATACCACCACCACCATCACCACCCTAGGAAAATTAAAGGAGAATTTGTTGATCTTGCCCTCTTCCACCATGGCTGAGAAACCCCCAGACTCCCAGAAGTCCCTCCCACCAGGTCTCGGAGACACCCTTTGCAGACTTTCCACACTGAATTGACCCCACCAAGGGCTATGAGCCAAGTGCTCCACACCACTGCCCCAGACACAGCCACAGCCTCCTCTCACCTCCATCACTGCTCCTGAACAGAGCCCGGAATGGTCTCTGTGTGTACACGCATGTCCATGGAGACCACAGCCCCATTGTGACCTCATGGGAGGGTGGTCCAGTGGATGATGAGGTGGGGGGAGCAGTGCTTGCAGTGGAGAGGGCTGAGCACCATCTGGTGGGATCAGATACTCTATGGGAAGCCAGTGTAG